ACTATCATCCTAAATTGCAAAAAGTGAAAAATCTTACCTGGATCTACAGTTCCGAGAGTGTATGTACCTTACAACCAGTAAATAGCATTAGTCGTTATGTGGAATCAATTGCTACTGGATCACAAAAACTGGTTCCAAGTGTGGAGGCCAATTGTTCCACAACAGAGTCTGAGTTTTCAATTTGAAACACTTCATCTATTTGTAGACATATTGCATTACATTGAAAATGTGCAAAGAAAAGCTTAGATGTATTAGATTAGATGTAGCTTATAGAATTGATTTATTCCTTATAGAGTACCAAATGAATCAGCCAGATGTCTGGCACACACATTATATCACCTACACCTTGGAAAAATTTGCTGCATCTGGAATGGAATGCGTATGCTCTCCCCCTGGAGGGGCGCACTTTGGTTACCTAATTCTTGAGAGTATCTGGTGTGGATTGGCAAGAGCCAAGACTTGGGGACCCCAAAATGTATGTTGGGGGTATTGCTAGATTTATAGAATCACATAGCTCATCAATGAGAGCACTGTCTTGGACTACGCTATCTATTAGAACTTTGGCTTTCAAGGTTAACAGAAACCAAAGGACCCTTGCCCCAATGACTAGTCTATCCCTCCAAGTCCTCCTGGTTGGTATGTCATCAGAATTGCCTGTAGCACTGCAGACCTGCCTGTCTCAGGAACTGGATTACCGAGACCGCCACAGAGGGTTGACTCAATCTTGACATTATGTTGCTAAACATGTCACCTTGGAGGCAGTTCAGCTCCAAGCTGACCCCACAGACTCCATTTTCCCCCTTTCCCCCAAGGAGACTAGTTACTAGTTGACATTGTTAAAAGAGAAGGAAACAATCTAGCGGTTAGAGCACTCGCCTTGCAGGCAAGAGATCTGGGTTCCATTCTCAGCACGGCGAAATGTTGGCATGCTTCCTTATTCCACATGCCTCTGTTTACCTAGGAGTAAGTAGGAACCCAGTTGTTAGTCGATGGGCGGATCACTTTTTCAACAGTAATAATTCCTTCAAAAATATAATAATAATAAAAATTGGTCACTCAATCTACAACTATTTGTGAGACGCTGCTGTGCACAATGGCTGCCGTGTTTCGCCCACAATATAGCCAATTTACCTTACAGTATATTCTGTGAAGCGCTTTGAGAAGTTTAGAAAACGTGATATCAAATGCAAGGATTATTATTATTAAACTCAGGTGGGATAGCAGGAGTAATGCTACAACTGGATTTAGTGCCACAACACTAAGATGGGGAAATATCAGACAACTTCCCCTTTGGATTCCTATTCATTGGCTCTTAACATACACAGTGTGTATGTTAAGAGCCAGTGAATAGTGTGTTGTTGTTGATGCCACAGGTCCAAAATGTATCATGGTTATAGTAATAAGAACATACAATACAATATAAAATTACATTTGTAACGTGCCTTTCACGTTGGGAGGACGTCCCTAGGCATTGGACAGTCAGGGATTTGGCCCCAAAAATGCCTTATGATTTAATATAATGCAAAATTTGGATTTTTTAAATGAATTCCTGGTTTGGAAGCTGAATTTCCAAAGTTCTTTTTAACCTGGTTGACTTTTAAGAATTTTCTGCAGAATGTTATCACTAAGATTATGAGAAAGTTGGAGTCTCACTAGTGGGATTAGATGGTTCAAGTGGATAAACACACTAGTGCAGAGGTCTTGGCTATTGAACATAATACAAAACAGGAGAACATAATAGTAAATATTTTTTTTTGTGTGGTTATCACAGCAATTTTCAATAAATAGTTAGGGTTCAAGTAATAATAATTCTTGCATTTGATATGGTGCCTTATCACATCATCAAAACATTTCAAAGTACCCCAAAGTATTTACTGTAAAGTGTAGTGACTATATTTGGAGGTAAAGACAACTGCCAATTTTAATTATGTAACATAGATATATAAATAGATGCTTCATCCAATCTGCTACTAAACCATGCATATCTGCAGGAAGGTCCCAGTTTCAATCTGTCAGTGTTGTTTTCCCTTCACGCTGTAGCACCTTCCCATCTCTGTGATCTTCTCTTGCCAACTCTTCTGTTTGCACCTCCCCCTTGACAAACTAAATTCTGCTGCATGTTCCCTGTCCTCTATTCTCCAACATTAGCAGCTAAATCTCACCTAAAAAACTACCTCTATCAGCACGCTGATAGACACCTTCCATTCCATTGTTTGGCATCTGACACCATCGCTGTGAAGTCCGGCTCTGAGACATCCTACATGAAGGGTGCTATATAAATGCAATAATAATAATAATAATAATAATCCTTGCATTTGATATAGCGCTTTTCACGTCGGGAGGACGTCCCAAAGCGCTTCACAGAACACACTGTAAAGTGAATTGACTGTATATTTGTGGGCGAACGCGGCAGCCAATTGCGCACAGCAATGTCCCACAAACAGTCGTAGATTGAAAATGACCAATTTAATTATTGTTTTTGGTTTTTTGGAGGGATTATTTTTAGGCGTGTGGAGTAAGGAAACTTGCCCAAGGTTTCTCCCTGCCTGGAATTGAACTCAGGTCTCTCACTTGCAAAGCGAGTGCTCTAACCACTGAGCTACAGGACTCCAAATGCAAGTTCTTGTGGTTGAACCATAGGAGTGTAGGATGTACGGAGGCGAATAAGGCAGGAAGAGACCGAATAAATCGGATAGATGGGGCCTGACCCCAACCGGAGCCGCTCCTATGCTAGCTGCGCTGACATCAGCGCTAAATCCAACAAGCTAGAGTCCCACCCTCCACAGAGGCTGACATCAGTAGTGCTCACCATGTAGAAGAGCGTCCCCGCAAAAAATGCAACGTGTAAGAATAAAATGTCTGTATTGGGATACAGCAAACAGAATGTAACTGAAGATGTTAGTGCAGTTGTGTTTTGTTGGGATTTTTGTTGTACCAAATATTACATTTTCAAATAAGTATATATTTTCAAAATAAGGGGATAAATAGGGAGGGACATGACTATGAAGAGATTTTGAATGTAGTTGTTTTGCTGGGAGCTTATGGAGCTTGGAAGAAGAGCATAACAACAACAACTTGCATTTATATTGCACCCTCCATGCCAGCAGTGTCTCAGAGCATTTGACAATGGTGGAGCTCGAGTCCGAGCCAGGGGGAGGTTGGAAGCTGACTGGAAGCGCAGTCGAAGAGGAAGGTCTTCAGGCGGAACCTGAAAAGGGGAAGGAGTGCGCGAGGCAAAGGGGTTGAGGGAGGAAGTTCCAAGAAGGTATGGCTGCCGATGGTGGAGCGGAGGATTCGGGGGACACGGAGATGGCTGGATCCAGTAGAGCGGAGGCAACGGGTACTGCTGCGTGGTGAGAGGAGGTTAGACAGATAGGGGGGTGTCAAGGAATGGAGGCATTTAAACGCTGAAAGAGAAATGGATGTGTAAAGCCTATTGTGGGAGAGAACATAAGTTGCAGAGTTTTGAATCAATTCACGTGTATGAAGAGTGGATCTAGGGCTGCCAGCAAGAATTGTTGGCAATGGTTATCCTTGAGATGATAAAAGCATGAATGACTTTGCAGGAAACTGGGCACTTTGAGCAACATCATGCTGTCACTAACATTTTTAAAAATTGTAAGGAAAGTGGTGGTAATTATCTTATCACTGGTAGGTCTACCAACCTCTCTGGGAAGAGTACAATGCAGCCTGTTCTTGTTTTGTTACTCGGTCTTCACTTTGTGAGCTTGTCAAGCTCAATAAACATACTGACACTCACCTGCATCATCATCAAAAGAAGACATTATAATAATCCTTAAATTTGATAAAACATTTTTCACATCTGGAGGACATCTTAAAGCACTTCACAGGATTCACTATAATGTGGAGTGATTCTGAATTGTGTAGGCAAAGGGGGCAGTCAATTTGCACACAGCAATGTCCCACAAATAGCCACGAAGTGAATAACAAATTTTATCTGGGGGATTGATATATATTAAAAAAATGCATTTGTAAGTCCGGTTATCAGTCTTAACTCACAAAATACAGTCAATCTATTTTACAACAACAACAAAATTACATTTATCTAGCTCCTTTCACGTCGGGAGGACGTCCCAAGTTATCGACTTTACAGTGTATTGTGTATCTGTCAAATGTTATGAAATTACCGTATATCCTGTGAAATTTTTTTCTTTTGCTACCTCATCTGAACAAAGGTTTCTGCATTAACTGTGTATCAATTAATGCAGTATATCTTAAAAGCTCCGAGACACTGTCCTGCGTGAAGGGCGCTATATAAATGCAAGTGCTTTGAGAGGTCTCGACGAGTGATAAGGTGCTATATCACATGCAAGGATTATTATATTATCCTGATTATTCCTACAAATGAACCACGGCGCTGGGAAAAAAAGATTTCGAGGCGATGCATTTGTGCACTGTTCCCAATCCCCAAGCTGGGGCACTGAGTACTTCATCTCATCTAAAGACATGGGTAAAGTCATCAGAGAAATTCAGGTTTAAACTTGATATGAAAAAAAAATGATCACAGTACCCAAAGCCCACTAGAATTACAAAGCACACAGGAGGCTGGGGGAAAAGCAGTAAGTTTAAAGGGAATAATGGGAGTGGGTGGTGGGGGATTTGCATCACTGATTAAATAGCCAGGCAACCACTGAAGGGCGCCCCCCTCCTGCTACCTTGATACTGTGCTCAGAGCAGCAGCATCAGCCCTCCACAAAGCTGCACTGTCCGCCAGCTCAGCTCACAACACAACACAACACAACCCAGCAGCTCACCCACCCACCCACCCACCCACTCACTCACTCACTCACTCAGCCAGAGTCCTGCAGGAGCCACAGGCACAGCCACAGCACAGCACAGGGGACACTGCGCTGCACACCCAACCAGCTGCCTTCATCCACTGCATTGCTTCCCTGAAGCTAATGCAAGACAAGTCAAACTTTTTGTTTTATTTCTCTCTCTCTCCCTGTGTGTGTGTGTGTGTGTGTGTTTCTGTGTGGGGGTGAGATTGCCCTCTGGACTTGAACAACATAACCTGATCTCAATGGCAATGGCACAGAGAGCACTCAGGGGATGGTACATGTTGTGGACTGTGATGCTGTGTCTCCACGATGCTCCCTGTCAGTTGGGTAAGTTTGTGTTGTTTTTTTTGTGTGTGGGGGGGTCCCTGCCGCATATTACAAGCTACAAATGCAGATGATATGAACCTGTAATGCAGTGCTAGGTTTGGTAATGTTCAGCTGTTTTGTTGCAATTATTGTTCAATTTCTTTTAAGTAAATATTCTTTTAACCAATTGTGTTGCAATGATGGTTAGCTGGACTCTGGGACTTGTTTTATTAGGCAAATAATTTCTAATTTGAGGAAGCTGCCTGTGTTTTAAGAGAGTTCAACACATCGTCATGTCAAGTTTTGCATCAAGTGCAAAGAGTTGTTTGTAGGATGTGTATTTTTTCTGAAACAAATAACCATTTCCTTTCCTTGAACGTGTGAAGGTTTTCTTGAGTTAAACACAAGTCACAGATTGACTGACATGCTTGCTGTTCACTAGCAGGTTCTATTTCAGTCGTGTTCTTTCAAATCGATGCACCATGATAACCACCAGTCTCTGAAATTCATTCAAATTGTGCACAAAGACTGAGATCATCAATTCACTGCTGTGTCACATGAAAGAATGAATATAAAACATCATATTAGAAGCAACGTTTCAGTATTTGTATGCATGCCACTGCTCATTCTGTAGTTTTCTCTCCCTCTGTGGGACACTGTGATTGATCTTGGCGACATCTCCCAATTTCCTGATCTGTTTCACTGTAAGCCCTTAATCAATGAGTGAAAGCCTTTCACTGGGTCCTAGAGCCAGTGTGATCTTCACACACGTTTCCTTCACATAATAATAATAATCCTTGCATTTGATACAGCGCTTTTCACGCCTTCTCGACGTCTCAAAGCGCTTCACAGAATAGACTGTAAAGTGAATTGCCCGTACATTTGTGGGCAAAACGTGGCAGCCAATTGCGCACAGCTGTGTCCCACAAACAGTTGTGGATTGAAAATGACCAATTTATTATTGTTTTGTTTTTTGGAGGGATTATGGAGGGACATGCAGTACTAACCATCGTATTCTCTATGCACAGAACATCTGGATTCATCTGAGGGTGGGAATTGCATTCAAATGGTGGAACTACAGAAAGATGCAGTGTTGAATGCAGCGGATAAAACTGAAGCAAAGGGAATTTGCTTGCCAGTGTTGTATAGTATAATTTGAGGGTAAATTCAGAAAGAAAACAGCAACCTTACTCCCAACAGTTGTAAAGTTGCCTTGCACACCATCAGAGACACTTTAAAGGCAATCTCACACAATTAGTCAGGAGGTGCAGTAGCATTTAATGCTCAAAATTAACAAACAAAACTGCAACTTATATGAGAGGGCTTCTGCTGATAGTTCAAGATTTATAAGTATTTATTGATAAGTGAGCTAAAAACCCAATTTACGGTAGCAAAGAAAACTGGAACATAAGAGATTCAAATGAATTTAAATGTTTGCGGAAAGTATTGCACTTTGGTTCTGTGCACCCAAATTCGCTTTTAATAAACCTGCAGGACATGTTAGGATTTTGGAGCCTCTCCTTTTATGGTGTGACTGATGAGATAATAGTGTAATTGATGTGCCTGCTGCAGTTTTTTTCTTGAAGTCTTACAAAGCACACAATTTTTATGCCTTTTAAGCATTAGCAGCAGTTTTATACAATGTGAGATTTACTACTGGACAGTTGTAGTGCATGTTACATGTCAACAGTTTTCTTCCCAGATGTTACATCTTTGCAAAAACCATTGAAGTTGTTAAAAGACTCAACTTCTGGTTCATGAAACTGACAAGCCTCGAGTAGCCAAGGCAAATCTGTGAGTTTTGGGACTGAGAATTTCTAGGACTTCTGTGGTCATTTATCATCACCCCATCTGGTTTATGTGTAAGCATTCCAATGCTAAACAGAATTTCCCGGCTTTGACTGAAAACAGCCCAATAAAGTTAATTTGCTGTGGGAATCCACAATAGATGGTGCAGGCATTATGTCATTAAAAAAATCATATCAGTGCATTGATCACATTACTTTTGCTTCATAGATAGTCAATATAGTAAACAAAATCTCCCACAAAGAGCATTAAATACAATGTCTTAAGGTGTTGTTTGCAGAGCAAATCTATGTAATGACTTAGGGATACATAACAGTAGTGTAAATGTAAACTGTAAAAATTCGATTAAAGCCAATTATATTATACTCTGCACCTTTAATACTTTCTAATTTCATGTTACTTCTTGAAATGTCTTTGCCAGTTGAAAGATATTGCTGAGATCAACATGCTTTGCGCGCTAAGTGTCTCTTGTTTTCTCATGGGTAAAAGGATCACAAGGCAAAACCAGTAGCACATCTGGCATACTTCTGGATTTATCCTGACTGTTTTACAGGAAAACATATTTATTTTGTCTCATTTCAGTCCACTTTTTCCTTCCTATGACCAGCTTGTTAATTGAGACGTCTCGACCATATGATAAGGTGATTAGTATTATCGTTATAAATCGTGAAAGATTAGAATTCGACAAAACACTTATTGATGAAATATATTAACCTTAGCAACTCCTCAGAAGAACAGAATGGTTGAAAGCAGTTTTTAAAAAAATATCAATTCAAATCATGGCCCAGGGTAAAACCTGGAAGCTTTTGGGCGATGGGGAAGAAAAGTCAATATATTCTAACAACAATAAGTTGCATTTATATAGTGCACTTTACGCAAATAATGTTATGGAGCACTTAACAGCAGCACGGCTTAATGCCCAGCTGGAATGGGGTTGGGTGGGAGGTGGTCCAAAGGCACGATCGAAGAGCAAAGTCTCTTGCTCTTCGATTGGCAAAGAGGGGCAAGACAGACGGATTCAGGCAAGGAGCTCCAGAGATTCTGAACGCACGGTCACCAATTGTGGAGCGGAGAGGATGAGGGAAGTACAGCAGACTTTTGTAGTTGAGCAAAAGCAGTGGGTAAAGGATTGGGGTGTGAGCAGCTTGGAGAGTTAGGGAGGTGCCAGGGCATGAAGAGATTTGAAGGTGAAAGTGAGGATCTTGAAATCAATCCGATCTGCGTCAGGGAGCCAGTGGAGCCTGGCAAGAACTGGGATGATGGGGTGCAGAGCCGTGAAGACACGGAAGGCAGAGTTTTGAATAATTGGAACCATGATAATGGAGCTGGGGGAACTGGCAAGGAGTGTATTAGACGAATTGAGATGGGAGGTGACAATAATTATAATAATAATCATAATCCTTGCATTTGATATAGCACCTTATCACATCTTTGAGACAACAACAATAAAATGACATTTGTATAGCGCCTTTCACATCGGGAGGACGTACCAAGGCGCTGGACAGTCAGTGTTTTGGACCAGAGCTGGGGATTGAGATTGGGGAGGGTTGAGGGCAGGTAGGGGGGATGGAGCGTGATTGAAAGCATGGTCAAAGAGATGTCTCAAAGTGCTTCACAAAATATACTGTAAAGTGAATTGACTGTTTTGTGGGCGAAACGCGGCAAAAGCATTAATCAGAATTTCAGCAGCATTTGAAGTTAGAGTAACAGCAAGACGGTCTCCTACTTATTGCATAATTGACCAAAATCCAAAAAGTACAGTAGAAAGTCTTATAAAAGCCAAGAAGTTGTCTGACTCCCATCAGGAAGGAGATATGTTCGGTCTCCCACTGGGAAAAAGGTGCCCTTTTATAGACTTGCCAGCTCTTCTACAAGTCCTGTGTCAAAGGTGGCTTCCTGCAGAGGGAGGGGAAAGGTAATTCAGAGTTTTCAATGAAAAAAAAGGTAACACTTAGATAACATAGGAAACGAGACCATCTATGAGTAACACAGAAATGTCAGAAAGATGGTGGACCAGAAGGGTACCACGGTATTTGAATGCTAACTTTCAGAACAATCAGTTTACAAATGTAATACTGTAATAATAATCCTTGCATATGGTATAGCAAAGTTCACATTGGGAGGATATCTCAAAGCGCTTCATAGCATTCACTGTGAAGTGGAGTGCCCAACTGTGCACAGCAATGTCCCACAAACAGTGATGAAACACATGACTATTTTTGTATTTGAGGGCATGTTGGCCTCGACACATATTTTCGAGTAGTGCTATGGGATCTTTAATGCCTCGCTTAACATCTCATCAGAAGAAATTAGGTATAAGCTTGCCAAATGATAAACCTATATGTTTCAACCAGAATAAGTTATTTTTAATGAAGAAAGCTATAGCACGTCACATTTGTTGCTGCGTGACATGACCGACAGAATACCTCTATAGCAATGGGAGTTTTATGATTTAATCGCTTTTCAATTTGAACAGATTAAGATTAGACCTGAGGGTTTGCAACCCTGGTCAGAATCATTTGAGTCTTAAGCTTCCTTGTGACTTGTATCTTTATTTCATCCACAATATGATGCAGGAATTAATTTTAATTAATTTTAATGGGGACGGGATTGAGGAGAAGTTAAATCCTGTTTCCAGAACCAAAGTGTCATCCAAAAAAAGTGAGAATTTGGATATATTTGTTCAGATTTTTAATGTAGCATATGTGCTGTGTGAAAAATGTTGTCTATATTTCAATTGATGTACATGCTGAATTATGGGCTCATTAAGGTTACGGATGTTGTTGGGAATAGAACACTTTCCTGTTTTGGCACTTGGTGTTGCCATCGAGCACTTCTATGTCAGGAACAGCACAGTTAGCTTCAGAATAAAGCTCCCTTCACTTTAATAATAAAAGTATTAAAAATCCTTACATTGATACAGCACCTTTCACGTCAGGAGGATGCCTCAAAGCGCTTCATAGTATAAACTGTAGTATTGTGAACGTATTATGTAGGCAAACAATTTGTACACAGCGATGTCCCACAAACAGCCATGAAGTGAATGACCAGTTTTATTTAGGGGATTGGTGGCCAGGACACCGGGAAAAACTCCCTTCTCTTTTTGAATAGTGCCATGAAATTTTTAATGTCCACCTGAACAGGCAGATGGGCACCTAAGTTTAACAGCTCATCTGATCTGCAGTATTCTGCCAGCATTGCACTGGACTGTTCAT